TGCCCCCGGCCCCGCGACCCCGGCCCCGCACAAAGAGGCCCCGGCCGAGCCTCCTGATTTTCCCGGACATGCCCGGCTTTTGGGGATTTCCCCCCGGACGGGGATTTGAGCCCCCAAAAGCCGGACGTGTCCGGGAAAATCCGGACGTATGGTAACCCTAATAATGGGTGCACACAGCAAAAAACTGCTTAACTGTAATTGTCCCTGGACACTGATCTCGCAGGGTACTCACACCTGGAATTTAATTCTCTCACGTGTGACTGGTTGAATTTCCCTGGCTCTTCATGGTCTGCATGCCCCTTAAAAGGAGTGGCTACTGGGCAAAGCACAAGACACACACACCCCTTACTGGCTATCACGCACTATTCCCGGCTGAAAATAAATGCTGCCCTCTGAGTGTGCAGTCTGAATTCTCCTTGCTGGAGAGTCAGGAGCTGGAGGAACGTCCCAGCAGAAAAAGGGAGTCAGGTTACACAAAAACTTAACAAGGTTAGTGCCAATGGTGTAAAAAGGGAGTGGAGTTTGGATTGGTTTTGACATTTATAGACACAAAAGGGGACAAAGGCTCTGGTCCCACAAACATGCAGGAGTTGTATTTGAAGCCTCGGTGAAGTCAGCAGTGCCTGCGTGCCAAGCCACAGGCCTCAAAAATTCAGCAACCGGACCAGAGCATGCTGGAAGATAGCAGAGGGTGAAGGGCTCTCTCCAAGCACTGCTGGAGTCCTGGTGGCTGACAGGCCTCGGGATCCCCTTCAGCAGGGAGCTCCTCCACCGACTGCAGTCAAGAAGGACTTGATGGGTCCTTCAGAGGCCAGTGGGGTGGGGGGTGACAGTCAATAGGGGTTTGGCTCATGCTCTTTGTCCTGTTACCAATGCTCTCAAGGGGAAAAATGCCTTTAGAGATCAAAGAATTTGCCATTCTCACGCAAATGGAGCTGAGAATCCTGCACAGTTGGCGTTGTTAGTCTTTTACTCTCTCTTTTCTGCAGGGACTGGACTTGTGGATTGGAGTTTCTTGGGCTGTTGTGGGATAGGTCAGTGAAGGTGGTTGGCTTTGCATTTTGCTCTGAATGAGGCTGAGGTTCACGGTCATCCTGAGCAGGTTCCAGATTCATGGCCAGTCACCACAAAAGCTCCATCAGCTGCACCCACCAGTATCACCTCTGAGGCTGAGGTTCTATTGCTCCTGTGGCACATAGCTGTCTTAGGAGGTCTGGGTCATGTAGAGTGAGGGGGAGCCCAGGTAAACTGGGCTAATCCCAAATTTTGTCTCCCAGCTGTCATGTCACTGCCTCCTGCCCACTAGGGGGACCCTCCTGTTGGGATGAGGGAGTTTTGATGACAAACAAGCCCATTAGCACTCCTGTAGGCAACATGGAGAACTGCACCTTCCTGCTTACTTTATTTTCATGAGCATCTCAGAACAGAAGTTGAAGATTTTAAATGCGCTGTCCAAGGCGTGGGCGCTCTCGTCAGCCTGCTTATCCCCAGGGAGCCCGAACACACACAGGAATGTGCAGCCCTGCCAGGGAGGGGAAAGAAAACACCAGAGGGGTGAGGGTTTTTTCCAAAGAGCAAATCAGTATCAATGTCTGTGGCAAACAGTTCCACTGTGCTCTAGCTCTCCCACCCACCCTGTTAGAGTAGTGCTGTCATACAGTACCCTCAAAATGCTCTGGGAGACCCCACCACCGCCTCAGACTCAGTCTCTTCAGCACCAAGCTTTTTATCATTTTTCCTGATCCCTGCCCTCCTCCTCCCTTCTCTATCCCTAATGACAATGACACTGTCCCTCCTGCCTCCTACTAGTCACGGAGTCTCAGGGGAATGTTTGCCAGCTCCAGCTGCCCAACTGGAATGGCCTTGAAGCTCTGACCCACTTTGTCAAACATAAAGACTTTGTTGATTTTGCCGCTGAAGACGTGAATGATGTTTGAGATCTTCACATTGGCATCGTGGATGGCCTTGCACAGATGCAAGGTATTGGCGCTTTCGTCAAACTGCAGGTTCACAAAGACAATTGTGACCAGCTG